TCTGTACTCCCTTTCACGGAAGGGCCTCCTCTAGACTCAGCCCAAGGCAGGCTTTGAACACCTTCACTCCGCTCTAAGGGACTTGGGGTGCTGAGAAGCTAGCTGGGGAGGATATTCAAGAACAATTCTCCATTTGAATATTTTACAAATCCTCAAAGTACCTACCTAATAGAATCTTCTTCATCATCAAAAGCACGTGATGGTATTACCTATTTACAGATGCCAGTCCTGGGCCACCCACTGACCTTACCTTAGAAGGAGTTTGCAGCCTGAGACAAGATCTGTCAGGTAGCTCTGGGAAGGTCACCTAGAGAGCAAGTGAAGAGTATCCAGATGCTCATTTCATCTCTTTATTGCTGCCACACCAAGTGACACCTGGCCCAGGTCCTTTCTCTGATCCCCAAGGCAGTCTCTCATCCTAGCCTATACAAAGATCATTGAAAAGCCTTCACAAAGAGAGGCCATTCTTGAGTTTTGGAACAGGAGAATGTTACTGACAGGCTAGGGGAGGGTAGTGAATATCTTGGGAAAATTTTCAGTACCTGGATTTTTTTTTCTTTTTTTTCTTTTTCTTTTTTTTTTTTTTGCCAGAAGGCATGTGCACTCAACTGAGAGAGACAGAAGAAAAGTGAGAAACAGCCCCCCATGGGAAATGGCTCAATCCCTTCTCCATTTCTATCTCCTTTCCAGATTTTGGGCAGACATACTCACATGGTAGGTATGTTTTTCTTTTTCTTTTCTTTCTTCCTTTCTTTTTAAACTGTTTTTTTCTTAAGTGTTCGTGTACTCACCAGAGAGAGAGAGACAGAGAGACAGAAAGTGAGAAAGCATCCCCTTCCGTGGGGGCAGAGTCATGCTGCAATCCTGTCTCCTCCATCGCTCTTCCTTTCAGAATTTTGGGCTCGCTTAGCACATGTACCCAGTGGCAACCTGGCCCAGGACTTAAACCACACAGTCAGCCATGTGGGATCCAGACACTTTAACCACCACACTACCAGCTGGCCCAATTTTTAAAAAAGAATTATTTGGGACCAGCAGTTAGCGTAATGGCTATGTCGCTGGACTCTCATGTAGTCAACTGCAGTTTGAGTTCTAGAACTGGCGTTTTAAACTCACGCCGGGCACATGTGCGTGCCCAAGATCCCAAGAGGAGAATGGAGGAGAAGGGACTGCGGCATGGCCATCCCCCCTGGGGGGTGATTTCTCGCTTTCTGTCTCTCTCTTTCTGGCGAGCGCATGCGCCCTAGAGCAAAAACCTCTCAAAAAAAAAAAAAAAAGAATTATTTAATTTTATCATTATTATTATAGCTAATTTGCTACAGAGCATGTGCACTCACCAGAGAATGACAGAGAGAGAGAGAGGGAAACCGCCAGGTCCAGGATTCACATTATGGTCAGCTATGTGGAGTCCAGCACCTTAACCACCATGCCACCTGCTGGAACCATGACTTTTTTTAAATAAACAAATTTTATTTGATGTGCTTTATCATACAATTACAAGAGAACTCAAGTTGAAGTCTTTTTTAATATAATAATTTTGACTTCTCTTAGTTTATCAGTGTACCAATTTAATATTTTTTAGAGATATTTTTGCTATAGGCACATGCACTCACCAGAGAAACGAAAAATCACCCCACAGGGGGGATGGCCACACCACAATCCCTTCTACTCCATTCTCTTCTCAGGATGTTGGGCACACACGCATGCACACGCTCCCACATGCCCTGCGTGAGTTTTAAGCTGCCAGGTCATGACTCGAACTGCAGTCAACAACGTGGGGACCCAGCAACATAACTATTATGCCATCTGCTGGTCCCTAATAATTCAATTTCTGATTCCTTTTTTATTTACCAGAGAGAGAGAAAGCACTCCCCCAAAACAGGGGTGTGTCAATGCCGCATCTCTTTGTCTCCATTCCTTCATTCAGTCAGCATTTGGGACACATGTGAATACACACTTGGAGTGTTTTGTTTTTGTTTTTTTAAGAGAGATTTTTGCTATAGTGCACTCTCTAGAGAAAAAGAAACAGAAAACAAGAAATTAACCCCCAGGGGGATGACCACGCTGCAATCCCTTCTCCTCCATTCTCCTCTTGGGATTTTGGGCATGTACTTACATGTGCCTGGTATGAGTTTTAAGCTGCTAGGTCTAGGACTCGAACCACTGTTAACTCTATGGGAGTCCAGCAATGTAACCATTATGCTACCTGCTGGTCCCCCTGGAGTGTTTTTCAAGCAACTGGAGCGGGGATTCAAACCATTGTCACTTATGTGGGATCTGGTTTTCTGTGCAAAGCACTTCACTGCTGCACTACCAGGCCGGCCCCGGGATCCTGATTTTTTTTTTTTTCTTCTTCTTCTTTTTCTATTTTTGAGTCAAAGGAGAGGACACAGCTAGAATGTTGTTGACTTAACTATTAGAATGTTGACTATTGGGAAATGGTAAGATTCCCAGTACCCACATCTACACCCCAGTGTCTACAGCCTACATTCCTACTTCCGAATGTCTGGAGATGATAATAATCCCCAAATTGCAGCCTGAAAGCCACAAAGACTTCTCAGAAACAACCAAATAAGTGTATTTATCTAGCACGGAAAGAGGCCTGACTCCTGGAAAGCCCAAAGTGTTCTTTTTACTTTCCTGAAAAGGAAAAGAGATTTAAAAAGACTTGAGGGCCAAGCTAAGGTGGTGCTACTAAGACATTGTGCTCTGTAGGCTGGGACCACATGGGAACCAGGATTCAAATCCCAGCCCAACCGAGGTGTGAGGTGCGATCACATATGCCTATATTCCCTGTGACTTGGGGAAGCAGAGGCAGGAGGGTCCTGAGCCCTAGGCTGGCCTGGGCAACATACAGGACCCTATCTAAAAAAGACCCAGGTGGGACAAGCAGATGGCAAAATGGTTATGTCACTGGACTCCCACTTAGTCAACCACAGTTCAAGTCCCAGATCTGGTGTCTTGAGACTCATGCCAGGTGCCTGTGTGTGCACACCAAAGATCCTGAGAACGGAGGAGAAGGAATTGCAGTGTGGCCATCCTCCCTGGGGGGTGACTTCTCACTTTCTGTCTGTCTCTCTGGTGACTGCACATGCCCTATAGCAAAAATCTCTTAAAA